AACCCATAAAGTCCATATTTTTCATCATAGTATAATTCAATAACGAACAAAAAAATTAATATTCGTGATTTTTTAATGTTTCTGCCACAATTTGATATTTCGGAGTTTATGGCATGTAGATGTTAATCCCACATCTACGTTCCCAACCAATATTCTCTTTGGAGTTTCAAATTCAATAGTATATCAAATTTTCTTTTCTGACCAAACATTGGTTAGGAAAGCGGATTTGTGGGTACACTAATGTGAGAACTATATTCGAATAAATGCCTATGTGGACAATTATCTGAGGGACGATTCTCTACCCCAGAGTTGCCTAAATACAATTTTTTAGCCAAATCAATTGATGAATGTGGTCAAGACCAAGATGGACTCTTCTCCGAAAATTGAAAATATTATGAGAAGAGGTTTTTACACCCTTAGAAACAAAGATGCCAAATAAAGGCCTAAAGATGAAAAAATGTCGAAGACCCCGAACATGGCTTAAATTATATGATGGTTATACCAAAACATGATCATATTTTGCGAGGATGGTTTCTTATCAAATTAAAATGAGTGTAAGAAAAATGTGGTTAAAATGTAAACAATACTTGAAATAGGGTTGTACCCTTATCCGGGGGTCATATATCATGACCTGCAAAAGCGATTTAAGACATCTTGAAAGTTTAGGAAGAATTTCTTTCTTTTTTCCTAAATGTCCAATTCGCTCTACCATTTTGCACCCTTTATATTCGGTATTTCACTGACTGCAGTTCCAATGAATTGCATTTTGAGTTCTCATTGGGCGGATTATTGCCATATAAAAGATGTAGGTCCACGTAGGTCACTCATTTTATCTATATATATAAATGTAAGTTGTGTTAGTTACTACGCTTATAACTCAAGAACCGCTGATCTGATTTTAACGATTCATAGAAATTCTGAATTGTCTCTTTTCCGAAAAGGATAATATTCAAAAAAATCGCGTAAAAATGTGATATATTAACATTTTCATTTTGACTTCTGAAATGTATAATCGTAATGTTTTATTTTGTATGTTTTTTTTCCATTTTGACTTACTTTTTTCGAATGTACATTTGTAGTGTTTTTTATAATATTTTTTGTTTTCTTTTTGATTCGAATATTAATACCAATTTATTTTGACTCGATTTCTTGAGAACTGAAATAGAAGCCGGGTTACATTGAAGTGTAGTACCAAATTATGTGGTGGCGAAACGAAATAGATGTTATCGAAATAATTTAACGCGGTCACACCAAATTTAAGTCAAAATTTTTAAAAATCTTGAAAAAAGAGATCTCATTGCAAAAATTCTCAAATCGGGGAAAAATTACATAAGGTATAACTAAAGAACGGCTTGACAATTCATACAATTTTGGAATGGTATCCAATAAAAATATTAATAAAAATTTCTTTTTGGTGTGATTTGTTTCAATTTGACATACTATATTGAAGTGAACATTTTTTATTGCCTTGAAATCTGAATGAATAATATTTAAAATAAAATGAGTGACCTACGTGGACCTACATCTTTCATATGGCAATAATCCGCCCAATGAGAACTCAAAATGCAATTCATTGGAAGGGTATTATTTTCTCATGGTCAGCTTTCCTGGCATGTTCAAGCGTTGGAAGACCGAGCTATTTGTTTGTTTACGCATAAATGTATTACAATATATTTTTTGGAACAGTGTGGCTTGTTTGTTCGGGATACCGTAGTATTTTGTTGTTGCAAAATGGTCAGGCTTTATCCCTTTATTGTTGTTTTTATAAAAACAACGTTTGTTTATTAGTGGAGAATGATGGTATTGTTTACCAGGGGGTAAGGCAGGGAGTACCTAGGTTTCGGAAAGAGCCACCAATCCTCATCAATTCCCTTGTTTTTTGTCTGGGATATTCTCCCCAGAAGATAGGTATTCCCTGCCTTACCCCCTGGTAAACATTACCATCGTTTTCCACTAATAAACAAATGTTGTTTTTATAAAAACAACAATAAAGGGATAAAGCCTGACCATTTGTTCGGGATACCGTAATATTTTGTTGTTGCAAAATGGTCAGGCTTTATCCCTTTATTGTTGTTTTTATAAAAACAACGTTTGTTTATTAGTGGAGAATGATGGTAGTGTTTACCAGGGGGTAAGGCAGGAAGTACCTAGGTTTCGGAAAGAGCCACCAATCCTCATCAATTCCCTTGTTTTTTGTCTGGGATATTCTCCCCAGAAGATAGGTATTCCCTGCCTTACCCCCTGGTAAACATTACCATCGTTTTCCACTAATAAACAAATGTTGTTTTTATAAAAACAACAATAAAGGGATAAAGCCTGACCATTTTGAAACAACAATATATTTTTTTTATAATTTTTGAGTTCGTTTTATTTATTTTTTTAACCAACAAATATTTATACATAAAATTTTGAATGCATACAAAAGCGAAAGGAGTAGCGAAGCGCTGGATCAGCTAGTCTGCCTATATAGAAACATCACATCCACGTTTTGATGTAGTCCCCATATAACTGTACCTTTAGGTATTCGGTGTTTTAAGGATTTCAGCTACATTTTTCAACAGAATTATCTTAAATTGTGTATCTGTAGTTCCTAATAGGCGCCTCCTTTTTGGCAGATAATTGGCTTTATAACTGTGCCTCCAGATATTCGATATTTTAGTGATTTTTACCAACTTTTCACCGGAATTATTTTCAAGTTATACAAGTTCAATTCTTCATATAGGACCTCCGCACCTCCTAATATTTGGCATTATGACATTATTAGCCACACTTTTCACTTAAAATATTTTAAATTGGGAATTTGGAGTATCATCTTCTGTGTCACTTATTTGGCTGTAGAGGTCCACATCTTCGTATAGACCGATATAAATGTAATTACTGATTTTTTAAATCTTTTAAATTATAGCTGCATTTCCAACGTATTTTTCACGATGCAAGTTATTATCAGGCATGTCACAAAACCGCATCGGAATGTTTTGAATTTCGTAATACAAAATCGTTCATTTTATACCCTTAACCATACTCCATAGTATATTAACTTTTTCCGTTTGTAACTCCTCCAAATACTCATATCAGACCCAACAAGGTACATATATTCTTGATCAGCGTAAAGTTCTAAGTCGATATAGCCATGTCCGTCTGCCTGACTGTCTGTCCGTCTGTCTGATGTAATCACGCTATCTTTCGAACGAATTGAGATAGAAAGCTAAAATTTTGCACACGTGTTTATTATTCCACTAGGCATGTTAAGTTCCTAAATGGGCCATATCATATAGGCCCCACATAACGGTACCTCCCGATATTCGGTATTTTGATGATTTATGCCACATTTTTTCTCGGATTTGTCTGGAAATTGGTATTTGTAGGTCATAACGGGTCCCTGAGCGTGTAGCAAAACATTGCATGTATAGGTCCACGTTGTGGTATAGCCCCCATATAACAGTACCTCCCGATATTCGGTAATTTGATGATTTTTGCAACCTTTTTTCACGGATTTGTCTGAAATCTGGTATTTGTTGGTCATAATGGGTTCCAGCTCCGGTAGCGAAACATTGCATGTATGGGTCCATGATTTGGTATAGCCCCCATATAACAGTACCTCCCGATATTCGATAATTTGATGATTTTTGCAACCCTTTTTCACGGATTTGTCTGAAATCTGGTATTTGTTGGTCACAATGGGTTCCAGCTCCGGTGGCGAAACGTTGCATGTATGGGTCCATGATTTGGTATAGCCCCCATATAACAGTACCTCCCGATATTCGGTATTTTTATGGTTATTGCCGATTTTTTCACTGATTTGTCTAAAAATTGGTATTTGTTGGTCATAATGGGTTTCAGCTTCGGTGGCGAAACATTGCATGCATGGGTCCATGATTTGATATAGCCCCCATATAATGGTACATCCCGATATTCGGTATTTTGATGGTTTTTTCCACATTTTTTCACAGATTTGTCTGAAAATTGGTATTTGTTGGTCATAATGGGTTCCAGCTTCGGTGGCGGAACATTGCATGCATGGGTCCATGATTTGATATAGCCCCCATATAACGGTACCTCCCGATATTCGTAATTTGATGATTTTTGCCACATTTTTTCACGGATTTGTCTGAAAATTGGTATTTGTTGGTCATAATGGGTTCCAGCTTCGGTGGCGGAACATTGCATGCATGGGTCCATGATTTGATATAGCCCCCATATAACGGTACATCCCGATATTCGGTATTTTGATGGTTTTTTTCCACATTTTTTTCACGGATTTGTCTAAAAATTGGTATTTGTGGGTCATAATGGGTCCTAGTTTGTGTAGCGAAACATTGTAATTATAGGTCCACGCTTTGGTGTAGCCCCCATATAACGGTACCTCCCGATATTCGGCATTTTAATGGTTTTTGCCACATTTCTTCGCGGATTTGTCTAAAAATTGGTATTTGTTGGTCTTAATGGGTTCTAGCTCTTTTGGCGAAACACTGTATGTATAGGTCCACGTTTTTGTATATATAGCCATATAGCCGTATGTCCCGTCTGTGGAAATCACATGATGCAACATTACTTGGCAATAATCGGTATATTGAAGATTTTAGCTACATTTTTCAAGAGAATTGAATTAAACTTGATTGGCTGTAAAGGTCCATGTTTTCTTATAGCCCCATATAACTGTTACACTTGATATTCGGAATTTTAAAAATCATAGCTTCATTTTTCAAACGTAATTTTTCTAAATGTTATAATTTTCTTTCCGAAAGTAAAAAAAAAACTTAGCTGATTTTTCAATAGTTACATCAAAAATTTTGTGTTTGGAAATTATCGGTTTACGACAAATATTGTTGGAAAACTCCATTGCAGATCTTAATCACATTAGGGTAAATAAAATTTAATAATTTAAGTGTTTTGGTATGGGTATAGGATTCCTTAGCATAGTTCATACCATGCCTTGATATTCAAAGCTTATAACCTTTTTCGACAAATAACAATTGTCAGCAATTGAGTGATTGCCTATATAAAGTGTATATTCATTTTTTATTGAAAATATATCCGAAAATTAATTTATGTTATCAAATACAATTTTTCGAAGTCTCCTTGCTTTCATCGCTGCTTAGTTCGGTAAAGAATCTGCGCGCTAATTGCTTCATCTCCTTTGTTAAATAAACTGGAAATACAACTTAAAAATCAAAAATAAAGACAATAAAATAATTTGAAATCCCAAGCTTTAACGTACTTTTAAACTCAATAATGAGGTCGCCGTGCTCTTTAGGTGCAACACGACACGGAACACGCGCTTCCACAATGTCTAAGGATTTACACTTTGGTAAACCTTCCCCATTCACAATTTTGACAAACCCAGGATTCACCACTTCTGAAATGGATATTTTCAGGTCACGTTTATCCACAGTCCGAACAAGGAACTGGAATCCAGTCAGAGCCTGACACAAATTTATTTCATGAACATAAATAAGATCGTGTTGGTTTCTTCTTTGGAAACGCCTGTGCGGCGCGTCCGCAACGATGAAGATAATGTCAGCAGGTATCTTGTTAGGACCACGATCTCCCTCCTCATCGAAGCAAAACCTAGTTCCTGCTGTAACTCCCGGTGGTATGTTAAGGGTTAAGGATTTTTTTAGTTTCTCGGTGCGAAAATCTTTTGCGTTCACCAACTCTTCCCGCCACACATGCATCAGCTTAACACATCCAAAGTAAACGTCTTCCAGTTCTAATGGGATTTGTTTAATAATTGGTGGGTCTTTGGCTCTGTATCCGATGCCATTGGTTTTGTTGTCAATTAGAGGCGTCGAGGATACAAGGATCGAATCGATTATATCAGAATATGGAGAATATTTACCGAAAATATCATGATACACTTTCATATGATTTCCATGATATTGATAGGGAGGAAAATATCCATCCTTTAAACGAATGCCTTTTAATAGAGCAGATTCCCCGAAACGATCATAAATAGAGCGTCGAAAATCGTGCCCTAGATGAAAAAAAAAAAAAAACTAAAGCAATGCATTGGAAATCACTTTTAAATACATACCAAGAATATCACAAGCCATGTTAATATATTCCCATTGCCGATAAATCGGCAAGGGAGACATGTGAGTGGAAATATGATCAGTGTCCTTGCCACTAATGTCTCGAATAAGTTGAGAATCTCGATAAGGAAAAAGTTTTATAGCCAATTTACGGTAGCTTTTCAAAATGTCCTCTTTTGTGGCATTTCGCGGAATGTTCAAAACATTATAATAGTCCAATTCGGCACATTTCATAGTGACATGAATTAGAACCAATAAATTTGATCACAAAAAAACAAAACGATGTCTGGTTGACTTTTTGCTGTAGTAAACTGAGTTTTCATTGCCAGCTTTGCGAGTTTGATGGACTGACAAAATGTATTAAAGTAAAAAACATGTTTTTTAATGAGTGTTACCCAAATACGTATTGCCTCATGGTATAATTATTACAGGTAGCAGCAAATCCCAGCTGTAATAATACTAGTAATACTTCACTATTTCACCCATTTTGAATTCAATGATTGGAAGACATATAAATTGAAAGACAAAAAAAATTGAAAGATTAAATAGTTTGGATCATGTTTTTGAAAGAAAATCCAGGCATTTCACTCATCATTATCGCTATTTAGCTCATTTTAAAAATGAGGAAAAATATTAAATTATTGAAAAATAACTTGATGCGTATAATTTTGAATAATTTTGATAGAAAGCGGACATTGCCTTCAATTGTCAATATTGAAATTGTTCAACTCTGACGTTTTGTACGCCCAACTTATTTGGGTAACTTTCAAATAAATACATGGTTTTTTCTTGTGTGGTGATATACGTCTACCGAGTATGTCGAATTTTAGGTAAAGTTGTAAAGTTTACAAATTACAAAATAAAAAAAATAATATTGACATGTGAGCATTTTAATTTTTATCAAGGAAATTTTATTTTTTTCAAAACGTTTCTAATATTGTCAATGTTAAGTTTGTTCAACATTGAAATTTCGCACGTTCTACGTATTTAAGTATCATTCAGTGAAAAACGTCTGAGGTGTACGTAAGTTATTAGATAGAGGTAAAATAACAATGACATAACCAGTAATGTAGTAATGTGGTTTAACATTAAACGAAGAAGTAAGTATAAAAGAGACTAATTGTGTCAAATTGACTTTTAAAATATGCAAGAATTGGTTTTGTTTATTTTACAATTTTTCCACAATTTTTATACCCTACAACACTATGTGTTGGGGGTATTATAAGTTTGATTGGGCCAGAATTTATGTAACACCTCGAAATATTGATTTGTCATATAGGAAAGTATATATGGATCTTCCTAGCTCGCCGAGCTGAGTCGATCTAGCTATGTATGTCCGTCCGTCCGTCTGTCCGTCTGTCCATGTTAATTTGTAATCACTCTACAGGTCGCAATTATGGTCCGATCTTCACGAAATTTAGAATGTAGGTGGGGCTTGGACCAGAATAGAACCCTATTGCTCTTGGAGATGATCGCCAAATGTTTAGGGGTTGAAATGGACCAAATACTGAAAAAATGTCGGATTTTGCAGTAGCTATACAGGTCGCAATTATGGACCAATCGACGCGGAATTTCGCATGTAGCTGGAGTTTAGGGAGGAGAAGAAGCCTACCAATTTGGGTGGGCATCGGATAATATTTAGCGGGTAAAATAGACTATATCTTTTGTGTTGAAAAATTCAAAATTTTTCATTAAACCGTGAATATTTTAAATCCCGGCGAAATCACAAAGCCATCACAAGCTTACTTCTGACCTTTACATTGATGTTTACATCCAACAAATCGGATATATAGCAAAATATGTGCGATATATATGTCTATCAAAGAAGATATGCTTGAAAAATCTCTTATATGTCGAGAACGGCTGAACTGATTTCGACAGTTCTCCTTAAAAAACGTCTAAAAAAATCGCATAAAAATATCTCTCTAAAGATGAAAATATTGATTTTGTAAAATTTTCTCATATTTTTTTCAATTTTGTCACATTTTTGGCATATTTTCATTTTGAATTAAACATTTGGTAATATTTCTACAGCTAAAAAAACTAAGTAGCTAGGATATCAGGATATCATATACAGATCGCATTTATGGCCCGATCCTTACGAAATTTTGCATGGGGATAAGATGAGGGTCAGAATAGAAGCCTACTCTTTTTGGAGATGATCGCCATATATTTAGGGGTTGAAATGGACCAAAAAGCTGCCAAATTGTCGGCAGGTCGTAATTATCGCCCGATCATCACGCACATTTGAATGGGGGTTACTGCACATTGCAAAAGCCAAACAGTTTCTAATGGCCATCCAAAAATATTCAATGTGTGAAATAGTTTGCCAACTTTTGTAGACAAAATACGAAAATGTCCATTCCACAGACTTTTTGGAGAATTCACAAATACAGGAAAGACGCACTTCTGACTATTTCGTTGAAGAATATAGTCAAATGTTTGTATCTCATATAGATGCGTTTCAGTCAAAAACCAATAATAAATGTTAATCTTTTGCCACTTCTGAGAGATTATAGGTCTTTGGGAAATATTGGTTCCAGATCTAGGAAGACCATTTAAGTGCAACATCTACCAATAAATTGGAAATGAGCAAATTAGTTTAAGTTGTTATTTTTCGAAAATTAGAGAACGAAACCTGATGGTTTTCTTTAATTATTTGTCACAATATCTTGTGGAATTCTGTCGAGTACTTCGCCTATATAAACTGTATGGTTTATTATAGTGTTGTAGGGTATTCAACTGTCGGCCCCGCTCGACTGTAGCCTTTGCTTACTTGTTTTAATTAAGAATAAAAACCACCAAAAATACTCCACAAAAATTGGTCCCAGAGTAGAATGGTAAAAATGGTTTATTCCTTAAAAAATTTAATAAATCTATATATATAAATGTAAGTTGTGTTAGTTACTACGCTTATAACTTAAGAACCGCTGGACTGATTTTCACGATTCACACAAATTCGGAGTTGTCTCCTCTCCGAAAAGGATAATATCCAAAAAAATCGCGTAAAAATGTGATATATTAACATTTTCATTTTGACTTTTCAAATGTACAATAGTAATGTTTTATTTTGCATGATTTTTTTCCATTTTGACTTACTTTTTTCTAATGTACATTTGTAGTGTTTTTTATATTTTATTTTTGAATTCGAATATTAATACCAATTTATTAAATTGACTTGATTTCTTGAGATCTGAAATTGATGGCGGGTTACATGGAAGTGTGTACCGAATTATGTGGTGGCGAAACGGAATAGATGATGTCGAAATAATTTAACGCGGTCACACCAAAATAAAGATAATTATTAATTATAAGATAATTAATTTTTCAAAATCGTTAAAAAATCACGAAAAAGAGATCTCATTGCAAAAATCGGGAAAAAAAATCGAAAAAATTTTCAGTGGAATCGAATTTTAAAATAATAGTAAGGGTCTTTAAACGTTTGCTGTAATACATCAGCGAACAAGTTGAAGATTTTTTCAATTTGTTATTCTTCTTTTGTCATTATCATATTGAATTCAGTGGATTTTTTGTGAACAAAATAAAGAATAATTTTTCACCAAAAAAATTAAATAAGTGCGAAATACGAAGTTAACTGACATCTACCTTTCAACTACAGGGCCGACATCGTGCTTTAGATGGAAGATGCGAACACATTTAAACAACCAAACATGACAGAAAAAGCCTAATGGAGCTCATTTCAAAGCGTGGACCTACTTCTTTCATGTGACAATAATCCGTCCAATGAGAGCTCAAAATGCTAAATTCTTTGGAAGTACAATCAGTAAAATACCAAATATAAAGGGTGGAAAATAGTAGAGCGAATGAGACTTTTAGTTAGAAAAGGATTTCTATCCTTCCAGAAATTCTTCACAAACATTCAATATACCTTAAATCACTTTTGCAGGTCATGATATCGTTCATAACTCACGATAAGGGTACATCCCGAATTCATATTTATATAACCATCATATGATTTAAGCTATTTTTGGGGTCTTGGGCACTTTTTTCATTGTTTGGCCCTTATTTGGCATATTTGTCTCTAAGGGGTTAGGGAACCATCATACAGACAATTGCCACATAGGAATTTATTTAAGTAAAGTCCCCACATTGGAGTATCCCCAAGTCCACTTTCACATATAATGTGTGGTCAGAAAAGAAAATTTTGTATTCTATTAAATTTGTAACTCCCAAGAGAATATTGGTTGGAAACGTAGGTTTGGGATATACATCTATATGAAATAAATTGTGGAAACATGAACACGGGACCGAATATTTGTTGTTTGTCATTGAATTCTACTACGATGAAAAATATGGTGGATAAAACTATTTTTACTCATTTTCAATCACGCGAAATTTTTTTCAGTTTGACATGCTATGTTTTTCTGCTATATTTTTGATTTGGTCTCTATTTGTCATATTGGATTATAAGGGGTAGAAGAATGTTTTCAATGTAGGTCGATGTCTCGGAGTAGTGCCCATATAAAGGTACCTCCTGATTTTACCATATTTCAAAGGATTTCGCTAAAAATGTGTATTTGGGGGGTGAAAATCTTACACAAAAGTTGGAACATATCTACAAATTTTTCCATATAATAGTACCCCCTCAAGTCCACCTTTTGGCGGACAAACAGACCGACATGGTTAGGGGGACTTATAAGAACTCTAATGGACAATCTGTGGTGCTAATGGCTTTAAAAAATTAATTAACTTTGGCTATTCTTAATTCATTCAGCCCTCACTTATGAGGTGTACAAAATACAGCAAATTCCAAATTACTGCTCATTTGACTAAAAATTAATTTGATCCCTTACTTGGGGATAAGATTGATATATACTTTTTAATAGATTTGTATAGCACATCCACACCTTTGAAGCCCACGATTTAAATATTGAAGCCCACGGCTTAAATATGGGTACAGGTATTTTAAAACACTTTTAATCGACCAGTACGTGAACACTTATATCAGTCATATCTGTGAATAATTATGCTTTGACAAATATGCATAATAGACAAAAACTACGGGCCGGCAACGCGGACCGGGCCAGCTAGTTAATAAATAAAATTAAAATTAATTCCCTATTAAAATTAAATAATTCACATTGCTTTCTCCACTTTTAAAACAATGCAGGCACATATACATACAGGGTGATATGAAAAAACTGCACCCAACTTCAGATTGCTGTCATTTCTAAGCCACTTGTCCGACAGCGGTTGAATTTATTCTAGTGACAGTTCATTTTATTGTTTACAAGCGTACAAAAACATTTTGATTTGAATTTTCCAGAAAAAAGGTAAACGTGATGGAATTGAAGCGTGATAGTGTGATTTCTTTATATTTGGC